TTGAAATGCGTTAGAATTTCGAATAATGTAGTTTTTTAAGATTAGGATTCCATGAGTATCTGGATATAGAAGATTGAAGATAGGGAGGTAGACGAACAGAGAAATAAAGGTAAATCATCTTAGGCAGATCCATTTATAGTTTGATGTTATACCACACATCTGTATTATGTGTGGTTCTTATTTCATAGATGCATAGGATAACTGCAACTTACTGATGTTATATAAATAAAATGGCTTAAATAATGGTCTCCATGTTTCATTGTAGAACGACAGAATTTGGCATTCTTATTTTTGTATAAATTGTATGTTCTACAAGTTGATAGTTACATATATATATTGGTTTAGAATATGTTCTCTGCATTCACTTTGTTTCTTACTAGGGACCCAGACCTCAGTGCTCTAGACTCTGGAAGCCGTGTCTTGGTACAGCACACAGATGACCTCTGGACAAATGCCACAGTGCAGGATATACTGGAGGATAGATCAGCCTTTTGTGTGAAAATGGATCATAGTAAAGCTGTGGCGGAAGTGAAACCCAACCAGATTATTCCCCTTCACCAAGAGGAAGAGGACACTGAGGTAAGAAGTTTTGTATGAGACAGACAGACACAGACAGACATGGATACTGTGTGAGTACTGTAGTACAATTGTTTATTTGTGCCAAGGAGGTAGAATAGCTACCATTTTCCAGTATTCCCATGCAACATTCATTCTTTCTCATTATATGTTAAACCTGTCTGCTTTTATTTATTTATTTTTTTTTTCTTTGATGATATATAGATTTTATTGATTCCTTTATATAACCTTACTCTACATTTTATTGCAGAAATATGAGGCTGACAGTCCTAGTGAAGAAGACAGCAGTGATGATGAACAGACAGTGTTCGTCCCAACAACAAACTGGTTACAGAATTCATTTTCACAGCGACTTGGCGAGTGGGAAAAACATACTAATGTAAGCTTTGTAATCTAGGGCTTATCTGAAAATTGTTATTTTGCTGTGTTGTTTCTGTTATTACTCAGGCTTTCCACATGTATTGCATGCATCTAGAACATCTCCCATATGAAGCCGGTAGCAACCGTTTTCACTTAGTTTATTTTTGTCTTGGTCTTGTGTGATCTGTATGACTAGAATGTTTTTCATTAATAGATAAAATAAAAGAAGTTTTTGAAAACATAATTTAGTATTCTAAAATATTTCTCTTTTCAACTTTACAACTTGGTAGTGTCCTTATACTTGTAATTATATATATTTTTAAAGCTGATTGGTATGTATGAGAATGCTTGTGGGGTTTCTAAGACCTAACTCAGATGGTGCTATGTTTTGTTTCAGGTTAAAGTTGTGTTTCTCTCATGGGATGAAGGTTGCCATTTTGTGACATCAAGGAAATTAGGTAGGCCAGTTCACTTGTTGCTGATAAGTATTTATTTATGTAAGTGTTTAGCTCTACAGAAGGACTGTAAACTGTCATCTTTACGAGTTTTGATGTAAGTGAGACAGTTTAGAACTTTTTGATGAAGTGTAAATGGATGCAAAAACAAATCTTTTTTGATAATCAATTTTAAAATGCGTTAGTATTTTTAATAATGTAGTTTTTTAAGATTAGGATTCCATGAGTATCTGGATATAGAAGATTGAAGATAGGGGGGTAGACGAACAGAGAAATAAAGGTAAATCATCTTAGGCAGATCCATTTATAGTTTGATGTTATACCACACATCTGTAATATGTGTGGTTCTTATTTCATAGATGCATAGGATAACTGCAACTTACTGATGTTATATAAATAAAATGGCTTGAATAATGGTCTCCATGTTTCATTGTAGAACGACAGAATTTGGCATTCTTATTTTTGTATAAATTGTATGTTCTACAAGTTGATAGTTACATATATATATTGGTTTAGAATATGTTCTCTGCATTCACTTTGTTTCTTACTAGGGACCCAGACCTCAGTGCTCTAGACTCTGGAAGCCGTGTCTTGGTACAGCACACAGATGACCTCTGGACAAATGCCACAGTGCAGGATATACTGGAGGATAGATCAGCCTTTTGTGTGAAAATGGATCATAGTAAAGCTGTGGCGGAAGTGAAACCCAACCAGATTATTCCCCTTCACCAAGAGGAAGAGGACACTGAGGTAAGAAGTTTTGTATGAGACAGACAGACACAGACAGACATGGATACTGTGTGAGTACTGTAGTACAATTGTTTATTTGTGCCAAGGAGGTAGAATAGCTACCATTTTCCAGTATTCCCATGCAACATTCATTATTTCTCATTATATGTTAAACCTGTCTGCTTTTATTTATTTATTTTTTTTCTTTGATGATATACAGATTTTATTGATTCCTTTATATAACCTTACTCTACATTTTATTGCAGAAATATGAGGCTGACAGTCCTAGTGAAGAAGACAGCAGTGATGATGAACAGACAGTGTTCGTCCCAACAACAAACTGGTTACAGAATTCATTTTCACAGCGACTTGGCGAGTGGGAAAAACATACTAATGTAAGCTTTGTAATCTAGGGCTTATCTGAAAATTGTTATTTTGCTGTGTTGTTTCTGTTATTACTCAGGCTTTCCACATGTATTGCATGCATCTAGAACATCTCCCATATGAAGCCGGTAGCAACCGTTTTCACTTAGTTTATTTTTGTCTTGGTCTTGTGTGATCTGTATGACTAGAATGTTTTTCATTAATAGATAAAATAAAAGAAGTTTTTGAAAACATAATTTAGTATTCTAAAATATTTCTCTTTTCAACTTTACAACTTGGTAGTCTCCTTATACTCGTAATTATATATATTTTTAAAGCTGATTGGTATGTATGAGAATGCTTGTGGGGTTTCTAAGACCTAACTCAGATGGTGCTATGTTTTGTTAACATGGGCACTATGTTTGCTGTCTTGGTAGCAGTGGTGTTCTGCCATTCTGATAGAGTCAGACCATTTGCAGTCAGAAAGATCATACGGAAATGCAAAAATTGACAGAAAAAATGCTAGTGTGAGGAGGCCAAAAATAACAGTAAATAATGTTTATATACTTTTTTCTTTTCTTTTCTTTACACACTAACCACACATATCTTCAACTTCAGGGCATTGCTTCGAAACTGATGGCCAAAATGGGCTATGTTATTGGGACAGGCTTAGGCCCAACTGGCGAAGGACGAGTAGAACCTGTTTCTGCATATGTTTATCCTCAGGGAGTTTCTCTTGGTGAGTTTGTTCTTGCTTTTTGTATATACTGCTGTGTTTTTGCTTGTCAGGGAAATGAACTATGCTATTCTAAATATAGGCCCTGGGGATTTACATAGTTATTACTGGAAGTCTATAAGCCAAGTTAAACATTTAAAATTACTCCAGTGTAAGATATGTAATTAATCAAGATAATAATTTTATATTTTCTATGCTTGGATGTAACCTTATCAACATAGCAATAGTGGTTGCATGAGGTTTATCACAAGCTTTGATTGGCTGTTGATGACCATGGCCTTTAGGAGTAAGGGACACCTTGTTTTGTGGGGGAAGTAGACAAGATGAGATTGTTGTTAGTTAATAAAAAAGGCAAGTTAAAGTTATCCTGTAAACCTACTAGTTCACATTGTTTGTTTGGTTGGAGATGCCAGTGTTGTTTTGAAATATTTTGTGGACCTAGAGAATTTATTTTAGGTTGGGAAAAAAAAGCAAGCAAAAGTTATTTTACAAGCAGTTTTCCCTGCTGCCTCTGTCTGTTTTCAAGACTAAAATGAAGAAAGAAAGAAAGTTTACATAAAAACAAATTCAAAAGATGATAAATGAAAAATCACATATTTTGCCACATGGTAAAGTACAAACTTCAAGAAAAAAAAGGATGGAAAAAGAGGAGGAAAAGAAGAGACAGAAAGGAGTGATCTGCAAAGTGGGTGGTGGGGACTGTAGCATATGCAGCAGAGTAGAGGAAGGCACCTGCTGCTAGTTAAAATGAACTAGTAATCAGCCAGGCTGCATTCTGTGTAATACTCACGCCGGAGGTACACTAATAGCTCATCGAGTGTACGCCAACGTTCCCGATAAGAGTAATTTTTCATAAAGTATGACACCAACTTATAGCCATGGAAGTGATAAAATCAGCCGCAAGGAGTGTAGGGTGGGGGGGTGGGGGGATGTTGTAAAGGAATAAAACAAACAACTATGTATAAGTGTATTGCATTCAACTTAAAAGCTTGAAAAAGCAGTAAAGATCAAAAAAACATGCGCTGAGATTTTTCTATTTCATTACGCCAATACGCCAAGGAATATAATTTAGGCTAAATCCATGCCGCCACACCGACAGAAAAGCTAACACCATGCCGGATATCTTTGGACCTAAGTGCATGAAATGCACCCTGGGGAATCAGCACATCTTATGCCTCCCACCCGTGAATTTTTTAAAATTGGTAAAGGTGTGAATAAAACAGTGCATGGGCAGGGGTGTCTGCAGCAGCCAGGTGGAGTGTGCTTTTATTTCATATAGGTCTTATTTATAGGAATTAGTCAATAATGCTGAGTGTGCATCATATATGATGCTGGGCAGTGAGATGTGTGCAAAATTCTACATCTCGGCACACAGGAGTAACCATACAGCATTAATGTTAAAAAACTTTTTCTCGTTCATTCCATGTTCAAGTACTAAGTTACCTGCTTTGGAGCCATTTTGAGTTCATTGAGGAAATTGTTAAAAAAACTGATGAAAAAGCGTAATTGTCACTGTCAGTCGAATTTTGATTCTGATTGTTATCAACCTTGAAAAATGGCAGAAAAGCAAAAATTACTTTTGCATTGCAAAAGGGAGGCAAGGAGTCTTGATATTGCACAAATGTTCATGATTGCCAAGCCTGCAAGACACACCAAGTAAGCCTAGTACCCAGGTTTTGGTCTATGTTTCCACCCAATCCTATACCTGTTGTCATGGGGAGGCTTAACCCATCACCACTAGGAATAGAAATCCCTGAGCATGATAAACTCTGATGATTTCTGGCAACAGCCAGACACTGGGCACAGAAGTCTGCTACATTGAGTGGAACATCCCGTTCCGCGCACCCTAGTGTGCTGCTGCACATACAAGCATACCCCGCAGAACAATTGGGTTGTTATGACGCTGGTACATGTGACCTGTCTGTATGGGCTGAGAGATGGAGACTGAGACCCAATGTTGGGGTACTCCTCTGCCTCAGGCCTCAGCCCTTGGTTTAACCAATTTTACATGGTCTTTTCTTTTCTTTTTCTTCTCCAACCCCTTCCATCCACTTCCTAAGATGTGAGAGCCATGTTGAAAGGATAATAGGCTGGCTTTGGGTCAGTCCTGCATGGCTTCAGGGAGCCATAAGGACAGTATTCCCCTGATTAGCTACCTAGTCCTTACCTCTCATAGGGACCTGGAGGAGTAAACCATTTTTCTTTCCCACATATTCCAGGCTTACCATGCCAAAAGTGATTTTTACTCTTATTAACCCCATACTGACAGGCCACGTGTTCAGGCATCATAACAAACTGCTCAATCTGTGGAGTGTGGCTGTTCGTCGCCACGACACGTCAAAGCACTGTGAGCCAGGGGTTTGGCTTAATGTAGCGAACTCCTGTGCTCAAAATTGTCTTGTTGCCATTCCATGTTCTCCAGAGCGTAGAGTTTTTAAAAATTTTCTTCACCCATCAGGAAAGGGTTAATGATATTGAGGCTTGCCCCTGTATCAACTAGCACCACTGACTTCAATTTTTCCTGTTCCCTTACTACTTTTCACCCATATTGTCCACCTCCCCACAGTACTACCTCATTCAGCACTGCTCCCTCTTTCTTGTCCTCTGTGAAGCTTTGGAGTACTCTGTTTAGCCCAACTGAGTGTGATCAATTTTTGTGATCCTTCTCTTCCAAAAATATCTCTAAAATCAAGTGGACAAAGTTTCCTTCCACAGCTGAGTCATTCACACCTTGTCACAGTTACGTCTGAGTCCTAAGCTCGTGCATTATCTACCCTGACTGAACTCATTGGCAAACTTATTCCTGCCCAGCCTCACTCCTACCTTAATATTTGTACAGAAACTATTTCAGACTATGAAAACAAACTGTTTGTCTGCTTCATTGACTATGATGCAGCATCAGTACAGTGCTACACTATTCCCCCCAGAAGCTACAGTGCTACACCAACATTCCCAAGATTATGCCATGGAGACATGACCTTCCCCATGAAATTTATATTGGTGGAGAATCCTGTCCTCTCCAACGATATTGACCCCTCCCCCATAAGTGATAGAAATGTTGGCATTTTGGCCACTGTCACTCTACAGCCCACTGCCCTCTATGTGCCCATCCTGCCCTTGATCGTTCAAACTGCAGTGCACAATCAAGCATGCGTGCCAAATGTGGTGGCTCCCATAATGTATTTACAAGGACTGCCCTACCTGCAAGTTCAAGTCTGAGGCAGCAGTTCTCACATTCAAACTTGGTCTCACTTTATGTGAAGCCAGGCAGGAAGAACACTGACAAGGATTTTCTCTTGCTCCATACTTCAGTGCTGTCCTTCACTCTGTGCCTCCTCCTTCTCCCCAAGATGTTTCTACATCTTCCCCAGTATCTCTTCCTCCTACTCCCTAATCTCTGCCTTACCCCATTTACTCTGCTGTGTGGTATGCTGTGGTATCATTCTCTTCTAGCAATCTTGCTGACCTATGATCATATCCCTTGCTACCAGTAGATGGTATCCCCAACCATCCTTTGCACATAAGGGGTAATTTAGTAAAGTAAAGTAAACAAACAGCTTGTCACACCAAGAGTAACCATTGTAACAAGTGGAATTAAACTAAATTATTATTATTATTATTATTATTACTGCTCTTTAAGTTCCCTCTTCTATTCCCTCATTCTCCTAATCAAATTCCTTTGCTAATTCTAAACCCAGATACTCCAATCTCTACCTCCCTAGTACGTACCCCTCCTCCTCCTTGCTTGACCCATTGCATCAGCCAATCTAAACGTTCCACCCCATCTTCTCCTACACCATTTTCCTCTGATGTCTATCCCCTCTTCTCCCCCTTATAAGACCATTTCTTGAACCTCCTCAACCAACTCTCTTTCAGAAACTCTTGAGGACATTCAAAATATACTAATCATGATGCCAAAAGACATGCTTATTCCTCATCCCTCCTCTCAGTCTTCCATTTCCCCTACACAAAATGTGACTGTTAAGATCCATCATCCTACTCATGTTCCCTTCCCAACACACCCCATCCTCCCTTCCTTCCCTGTTATCCCTTCTGCTCCATTCTAGATACACACATGACTCTTTTTTGTCAGAAATGTGCCCTTCCCCAGCTCCTTTCTCTCCTGAACCCTTGTCTCATTCCTGGAATTCTTCCTCTCACATATCTCCGAACTCCTATTCCTTATCACTCACTGATTGTTTCATAATAGTTCTACATTGAAATAGTAATGAAGCCTGTTCTCACAGGTCTGTATCCTCCATTTAATCTAATTTTCCTTAACCCTTGCCTCTCTTTTCTCTTCTTGCTGATCTCTGCTCTACCACATTTATGCAACCTCTTTACCCTTTTCAGTACCATACTATCCAAAAGTGCTGTTCGACTTTTGAGTGTAGCATATGTAATCATTAACTCTAATGCCTTCTTTACTTGTTTTGCTACTTTAACTTCCTATAATGCTAAATAACCTTTAATATCTGGCACATTTATTTGCATTTTAACAAGGTGCCTTCCGTGACTCAGTCCACAACAACCATGATATATATTATGCAAACTGTGCCAGTGGGTTAACCATTAACCATTGGTAAATGTGTGTGTGGAGCCATCTATGTATAAGCAATACTACAAAATTAAAGTCACTGTTTACATGTGTATTTTTGCTATCCAGATAACAATGGGTTAACCTAGTTCTGTCCTCTGGTAATGAAAAAAACAACACTGGCAATCAGTCCTTTTTCTTTTTGTAGTGTGGATATGGTCATATACAGATGTTTGAGATTCTAAACCTTTAAGATGCCTCATGAGAATCATACAAATTAGTGAAATTTAATTTCTGTTGAGTGATTATGTCCCTCCCTCCAAAAAATGGATAGTTCAGTTTGTATATTGTAAAAATAGTTTTGTAGATATTTGTATGAACAATATCAAATAGTTGCCATATATAAGATCTATTAGTTTGTCTCATGTTAAAAAAATAAACTTTGACTCAGATCGGTGCATGGAGCTTCGTGAGGCTTCAAATGGTGAAGAGATGCTGCAGGTAGAGAAGCGATTGGACAGACAACGCAGGATTGAAGAAGCAAAGTCTGTGCAGGCAGCCGAGAGATTACGTGCCAGGACATCTGTTTTTGATATCATAAATAAGAAATTAGGAAGCAAAGGTATCCCTGTATTCCTCTTAGACTTCATTCCTTTTACTGACTGTATTTTTGTTATTTTAATATAAAAGTAGAAACAGTAGGATTTACTTACTGTCTCTATTTCCAAGATAACCCTTTTTGTCCCATTTTCTTGTAAGCTTTAGGTTTTATTCATGGCTTTTAAATTTCCCATTATAATGGTTACATGTTAAACTTTTATATATTTGGCAATTTTTATATTTTATTATATTTTATTATTACTTTGTTTCTTTGGAATACCCAGTGATAGGCTGACATACCATTAAGTGTATAAGAGTTCAGCACATTTCTCAAACAAAAACAAAATTTCCAGGACAAGAGACAGAGGACGATGAAGCAGCCCCAAAGCAGCGATTAAATGTCTGCAAGACAGTCCTTCAGAAAGACACTAACAAGGATCTAAACCGGAAGAATTACCAGTTAAGTGAGAACATTCGTCAACTGCAAAGAGAGATCACCAAGTTGGAGGGATCACGAGATCGTCAGAGTGGAAACAAAACGGCTGCAGATATCATTAGCACCAAAATACTGGCTAAGAAAGCAGAACTACAGCGAGCACAGGATGCGGAGCGAAAGGTCCAAGGGGAGCAGCAAAGCAGAAGAGATGCTAAAAAATTTAGTGTGTTCTAAAAGGGTTATTGTTCATGTTAGAATCAACTCACCTCATTTGTATATATTTTCATGAATAGGAATTTGCAGAGTGCTTTTAATTGCTGTCCTATCTGGATTATCATTATTACTATTTATTATTACAAATATTATCATTATTAACCCAATGCCGCCACGGAAAATGAACAAAAAATGGGGAAAATACTGTGCTCATTTTTTATATTTTTGTGAAATGTCTCTGCACATAGATGGCTCTGCTATTGCTTAGCCACAAAGGAGTCAGTTAGTAGCCCTTGTGACCTTACCTGATTTCACCTTTCCTTGAATTAGTGGGAAAAACATTTTTACTAGTGCTATGAATATCAATGGTGTTATTTTTATTATAAACATTATAATTACTGTAATGTTATAAACATTAGTAACAGCAAAATAAGATAGTGTTAAACATTTTCCTAAATCAAGGAAAAGGGTAAACGGGCGATACAGGCAGTACTCGTAATTGGCTCATTGGTACAATTGCAGCCATATATGTTGTAAAACAATTAAACAAGTAAACTCCCAGTGGGCATGGCATGTACGTACATGCCATGCTCGTCGGCAATGGGTTAAGTCATATGTTATGTTTGTAGTATTTACCTCATGCTTTATATGAAGGATAATTAGATATAATACAAGTGTAAGTAACCATGAAATGCATATACAATATAATGATAATGACAATAAATTTTGTTTTTAAATATTCTTTTTATAGAAAACCTAACTTTTAAGAAGAGATTGTGTTGATATATATATTTTTTCTCTATGGTATTTATATATCCATCATATATGTAACTGAAGAAAGACTTAAAGGTAGATGGTAATTAATGTGCATAGCTGACATAACTTTTCATTGAAAAATCTAATAAATCTCATATTCAGTGCAGTGAAGTGAATCAATGAAAAAGGTAAAAAAGGCTAAATAATGCATACAGTTTACAGTTAACCAAGTTCAAGCTTATTATGAAGTTTAGTCACAGTAACACAAAATTTGAGTATTAGAAAGAACAAAAACTTCCAAACTTCCATTCCAACCATCAGATTTTAGAAATATATTGTAGTACTTATGAATACTGTCCTTTATAGTGTGTCTAATTTCAGGAAGGAATAAACTGGGAATTCTTCCCAGACTCCCCAATTCATCAGCTCTATTCTAATCAGCTGACACTTAATGCGGCTGTTTGAATATGTTTAGTATTTTTAAGTTCATATACAATATTTTCCTTGCTTCACACCACTTTATTATCTTCTCTTAAAAAAAAAAGAAAAAAAGAAAAACTAGTTTTCAGCCTTATTAATAAAACAAAACTAGGAATAGTTTGCCAAGTAACCATATTCTATTTTATTATTAGATAATTACTTAAAATCTATACTGATATTGGTGGTGCCAAATTTACCATCAAAATTAAAATACTGCCTCAGCCGACACAGACCTCCATCTTATCACTGCTACATCTATAGTTCCCAACACAGCATTTATACTAATACATAGAACAGGTCACCTTCCTTGTTTTATAAGTGTATGTATGTCATAGCTACATACACGCACACACACACACGCACACGCGCATGCACGCACGCACACACACACACACACACATATACACATACATTTGCACATATATATACACATACATATGCACATATATATACATATACATATGCACATATATATACACACACATATATATATATATACACACTAAAAACAAAGAACAATACAGCAATGGAATACCTTTGGAACTAGTGAATGTTTCTCAGTGGTTTTAGGTTGATTTGTACTTTCATTTAGTACAAAAATTAGAAAAAAATGGCATTTTGAAAGGCAAAGTCTCATTGTTCAATGTGAACAATAGGAGACAACACCTTCCCATTTTTAACCCAATGGTGCCGGGGAAAATGAACAAAAAATGGGGAAAATATTGTGCCCACTTTCTATGTTTTTCATGAAATGTCTGCCGATAGATGACTCTGCTAGCGCTTGATTTAAATGGCGGGAAAAACGTATTTTTCACTAGCGCTATGAAAATCGATGGTGTTATTTTTATCATAAACATTATAATTTTTATATTTTTTTTAGTAACATTAGTAACAGCAAAATAAGATTACGTAAAATATTTTGTAAATCAAAGAAACGGGTAAACGGCCGAGACGGGCGGTGCTCGTAACAGGCTCATTGGTGATTTAGTACAAGTGTTGCCATCTATGCGTAAAAACAATCAAACAAGTACTCACGGTGGGCATAGCACGTACGTACACGTCATACCCGGCACCAAGGGGTTAAAATAATATTTATCCTCACTTTATTGGCCTCATAGCCAGCAGCATCCTACTTGCTACTAAAATCACTCCTTTTGCCAAGGCAATGCAGCACGACCCCACAACCTGAAGTTCAGCATAGTTTCCCAGGTTGGGTCACACCAGGTCCACAGCCATGTCTGCGCTCATTGGACAGCTGGCTCCCCTAGTTCCCTGTGCACTTATACAGCACATGTACTTAAGCCACAGAGGAGTGAAGTGTACTAGCAGAGTACCACCAAAATGTGCATAACAAACACTTCTAAGTGACACCTGTAACCTCATGTATGCATCTTAATGGTAAGTAAAAGTTTATTTGATGTCACTTGATGATCCCCGAGGAGATACTGGACCAGCAAGACACTGTATTCTTTTCTTTTCTTTTTCCATCCCAAAGTGAAAGGATTAAACTCATTATGAAAAGAAAATCATAAAATAGACATAAATTAGTGTAAATGCAAATATATGAAATAATGTTTCAGTGAACTATGAATCTGACTTGATATATACATTAAGGAAAAGTTCATATATTAGATTGTCAGAAATCTTTATTATTTATGAGCATTCTAGAGTTCTAGATTCTAGAGACAAGTATAAGAAGAAAATAAAAAATGCAGTTTGATCTTAGAAAATAGCAATGATGTGGATGATAATGAAGCTGATTATAGTGATAATGATGATGTAAGTGAGGATGACGATAATAATCATAAAACAAATCATAACTTATCTTACAAAACTATTTATCCTTATAAAAACTTAAAGCCTCCAAAACTGTACATATTTGTAAAATTAAGGTATATAAAAGTTTCTGAATCCTAAAGGAACACAGCTCTGTAAACACAGGCACATCAAAATCAAACATTACAGAAGAAAATGTGCTTAAAAAAAAAAATATCTATACTATCCTTGCAAAACAATAACACATACAGTCATGAAAAACAATTGAGAAAATAAGAATCCTGGTTCATTAACAGCAAGGTCTAACCAGCCTTCTAAGGATACACAATCAAAGATTTGGAAACATGTGCATGGTTTGGTTCTACAACATTACTCATTTGTTTTAGGACTGATAACATGATAAAAAAAAAACTCTGTAATTTTCATTTCTAACCAAGGACACAAAAGTGATATATTTTCTAAGCAATGCTAAACAATATGCAGCACAAAATAAAAGATACAAAGCTTATGTTAATAATAATTACAAATAAATTGCTGATCATCTACTTCTATGCCAACTGGTAGATAAATGAGAGAGAGAGAGAGAGAGAGAGAGAGAGAGAGAGAGAGAGAGAGAGAGAGAGAGAGAGAGAGAGAGAGAGAGAGAGAGAGAGAGAGAGAGAGAGAGAGAGAGAGAGAGAGAAGAGAGAAGAGAGAAGAGAAAGAGAGAGAGATAGATAGATAGATAGAGAGAGAGAGAGAGAGAGAGAGAGAGAGAGAGAGAGAGAGAGAGAGAGAGAGAGAGAGAGAGAGAAAGAGAGAGAGAGAGAGAGAGAGAGAGAGAGAGAGAGAGAGAGAGAGAGAGAGAGAGAGAGAGAGAGAGAGAGAGAGAGAGAGAGAGAGAGAGAGAGAGAGAGAGAGAGAGAGAGAGAGAGAATAAAGTAAAAACAAGAGATGTAAGTAATACATTTTCATGCCATATCTTCATCAAAATTACACATAATATTGGTGAAGATACAACATCAAAATCAATTAATCTTAAGCTCCTTTATAACTTTTCTACTTTAGTTGGCATATGCTATTAAAAATGGGTAACTTTAAACTTAGCAGGTAAATTATCATGTGCAAAAAAGTAGATTGGACCATGTTAATCAACAATCTTTTTCCATGTAATTTTATCCTTAAGTAAAGTGTACACAAGACAACAAAAAAAATCTTAAGGTAATGATCAAATAATGTGCTGCAAGTAAGCAAAGCAACTGAGGCTACATGAACCTTCCCATGAAATCCAACTGACTCTGAACAGCATATCTTTAGTAGCTGGTTGAGATCTATACAGATTAAATTCAATCTGTACACTCTACTTCATCACTAGAAAAATAAAATGCAAACTTGAATGCATGAGCTTATTATGGGAAAAAAGAAGAATAAGAAAAAAAAAAGGACAATAGCTTTTTACCCATATCAATTACCAACTATTACAACATGATCAACATATATGGGAAAAGCTTTAAATCAAAATTTTCGTGACATTGCTAAAAACATACCCATCTGGATTACAGAGGCATCAAGTTAAGATCCAAGAAAAAGTAAGATGACTTCTAATGCAATATGCTTTTGTAACAGTACTTACCAAATGAGTTCATTTAAGTTCATTATTCACATCCATTTCAGATTGTCAGGAGATTCTGTTGCACATATCAACAAGCTACACAAGCCTATTGGTCACAAAAACTACCTAAGTTAATCCTAGACATTAAGAATACAACTTGAACAAACAGATACCTCTTTCAATCATACAGACAAGTGGATAACAAACATGCTTCACATGAACTGCAAATGTTAAGAGAGTCCTTAATAATTTTCAATCATTTTACAACAAATGAATCAGTTGCAAAACAAGTTTATCACTTTCACATGTGATTATCTGTGAAAATCAAAGTATGGCAAATTCTTCATAAAATAGCAACCCTAATAGGCACTCCTATTTAAACATTATCTAAAAGGCTATTTAATATGTCTTCAACAGTGGATGGAAGAGATTATGTTATGTACACATAGAAATAAAACAAATAATGACAGTTAAGAAACTTAAACTAAGCTTTCTATTTACACATCTTTCAAACTAGCTTCCTCCTTGTCTTCATCATCTGTCAGAAACACACTGGTCTCATTTTCATCATCTTCATCTGCCTTCTGAAACAAAAGAAAACATTAGTAGAATATTGATATAATTTTTCATAGTATAATGTAGTTTTCAATGATAATATTATAAGCCCATTACATTTATATCACCACTAACAGCCCTCCTCCACATCAAAGGTCATATAGCACTATGGTAAAGTATTGTGGCAAAAAGGGTGGAGTTAACGATCAGGATAAAATGTGTTAGGTGTCAAAGGCTGTAAAAAGCTATAGGATGGTAGTGAAAAGGTTATAGAGGGGGAGCAGGTGGAATACAGTGGGGATTTGTAAATGGGAATGTAGTTAAAGGTATAGGGTGATCAGATCAAATGGAAAGTATGTGTCTGAGGAGTGTATGAGGAAACTCCAAAAGATTTATTATGAAACAGTCAGAGGGTAATTACAGTAAGAAATAATAGTTGTAGAAGTAGGAGAAGAATCCTGAGAATAAGTGAACAGGGGAAGGTGGTGCAGTATTGGGAAGAATGTCAGGGTGGGAGGAATCCGGAGAAGGACATTGTTGAGGTCACATGAGCATCAAAGGATAATGAAGAAGGAAGAGGGAACAGTGATGCACATGACAGAGAAGAGGATGGGGTGTGTCTTGGGTGAGAGGGAGGAAGATGGGTAGGGGGAACTTGAAGAGGAGGAGGATGGATATCAGCAAATGCTTTAAATGTAGAGCATAGAGGAATAGAAAGATTAGTGAGTGGGTGAGGGAGTGAATTATTCTCTTGAGCCATGTTTAAGAACTTTTGGAGGTCTTCAAGGATTTCTGGAAAAACAAAGGTTTTCTTATGAGGAGGAGAAGAGGGAATAAAAGTACGCGGAGTAGAGGAAGAGGTAGATGTAGGAGAGGATGTGGTTGGAAAAAACGAAGTGGAACGTTGCTTGACTAAGCTAGCAATTTGAACGGTCATGACCAGGTTGGGCACATAGAGGGCCAAGCACTGTCACTTCACTTTCTGACACTGACGGGGAAGGGGCTGATATAATTGGACAGAGCAGGACACTCCACCAATATAAACCTCATAGCGGTGGTCATGTCTACAGCAGTTGATCTTGGCAATATTGGTGTACAACTTATGATGGCATCTGAGAGGAATAATGTAGCACTAGATTGCCACTACATCATAGTCAATGAGACGTGTGAGCTAGTCATTTTCAGTCTGACAAGTCCTTGTCATAAATAGGACAGTAAATCAAGGAAACGGAAACAGTTCTGGTAGAAGTATTAAGGGAAGTGAGGTTGGGTAGGAATAGGTATGCCATTGAGGTCAGTCAGAGTAGATAGTGCACAAGCTTAGGATGCAGATGTAACTGTGAAAAGGTGTGAACGATCAGAACGACTGCGATAGGAAACTTTCCTTATCTGTTTTTGGAGACATTGTTGGAAGAGAAAGGTATTATCAGAGTATGGGGATGTAGGGAGAAAACACAAAAAAATTGATCCCACTTGGCTGGGCTGGGCCTAAAAGGATACTCAAAAGGATTGTACAGGTGGAAGCAGTAGAGAGATGAGGGCAGAAGGAAGCTAGCAAGGAATTAGGGGGTACACAGATTTTATGATCACATGACACCTGAGTAGCTTTTTCTTATGAACAAATGTATATATATATATATATATATATATATATATATATATATATATATATATATATATATATATATATATATATATATATATATTTTTTTTTTTTTTTTTTTTTTTTTTTTTTTTTTTTTTTTTTTTTTTTTTTTTTTTTCAAAATGAATCTGTTAATATTTCTTTAATGTACATTAATAAATAACAAGCTGGTCCTGGACTGACTTGAATGTTGTGAGCTAATTTCAACAATTCAGACTCTGGAAATGACATGATTAAGCTAACCATAACAAAATTTTACTGGAATATTCTACTTTGGCTCATAAGAGAGAGATATCCCAAGGTATATTCTCATATATTCTTAAGTCTGCAAAAGTATACATTAGTAATCTGTGTGTGTGTGTGTGTGTGTGTGTGTGTGTGTGTGTGTGTGTGTGTGTGTGTGTGTGTGTGTGTGTGTGTGTGTGTGTGTGTGTGGGTGCGTGCGTGTGGGTGCGTGCGTGCGTGTGCGACACACACACAAAACACACACACTGTGCACACAGACGTGCACAGATACACACAGATATAAATAACTATAAAAATCCTGCAAGTTCATACTTACTATTAAGTGATCCTCAAGAGCAGAGCAGTTCATGGTCTGGATAAATATGTCTATCAGGTGATTTACCACAATGGATGCACTTCTCACACAAGTCAATTTAACCTGTAAATTCAAAGGCATTCATTAGGTTTAAATGTAAATATCTAAATAAATAATTTCAAGTAAGGTACCAATGGAATTTTCCATTGAAGATTAGTGTGTATTATTTTCAGTTTCACTTCCATCATACATTCTAACACAGCTCTTGGTCACACTAAATCCAAACATTCTATAAAACCAAGAAACAGTGCCCTAGGTTATATAATAATAATAATAATAATAATAATAATAATAATAATAATAATAATAAATAAAAAAAAGGAATTACCTTTTACACACAAAACTATGAAATAGTAAATTCCAAATCCATTATATACTAGCTACAAATTTCCCAACAAAACAATCAAATTTGGATATTACCCATGTCTAAGAATCATAAACAAGCACTTACCTTGCCAGCAGAAGTGATACTTAAACAAGGAGTACTAAGTTGCTGCAGCTGAAGAAGCTCAGCTGGAAGGAATGTCAACTGTTGTGCACAGTCGCTTATTGTATTAAAGAATAACTGTAACTCTTCAACACTCATTTCACCACGACTGCTATCAACAATACTGAAACAACAATATATATGTATGAATAATAAAACACTGTTAAGGTATCATAAATCTTCATACATATGTTACACAAACCATTTTTTTTCAAAAAGAGCTTTTATCATTAAGAACAGATACCAACCCAGAATAATTAAAGAGAGCATCTACCTCCATTTTTTGAGCTTGCAACATGTTCTTTTATTATCTATTTTTTTCTCACCTTATAGAACTCTTCATAGCTCTTTTTTTTAAATAAAACTTTCAGAAGAATGGACAAAGAAATATGAAAGTCTTTTTTTTCAGAAAATAAATAGTTAGGGCTTGGCTGCTCTATCTTTTTCTTTCCATAACTCTTTTTTTTGTTATACATTCACAAAGCAGGCTATATTTGCAAAATTATTTAGCAAAGGATGGGATTACTGATCTTAGGGATTACTGAAGGGTGAAAGAATAAAATATGTCTGATATAGGCCTTTTTTTAACAATTCCTTTAGCATTAGGATAATTTTGCTGTAATTTTGTTTTGTCAATTCTGCTTTTGCATGAAGAGCTCCACTGTTACCATTCACTGTCATTAACATTATCATTATCATCATAACAATATTAAGAGTCAAAATAGTAATAAGATTAAAAACTTACAGGGTAAACAAGTGAAATCAGGATCGTCTAGTAAGTAATTTCTTCAAGTGCCATCTATGTATATATATGGTTAATAAACTAGTCACAGTGAACAGGGCAGTATACATGCCCTCGCAATGTCAACAGATTAATGGCGTAAGGGTGGTTTATCCATTTTTTAACTTGAATATTAGCGCTTAATGCTATAAGAATTCAAAAGAGGAGGAATGAAAATGGGAATGAAAGAGAGACCTCACCCAAAGTCTGATGTTTATAGGCCTATTGCCTACACACAGATGCATTTTTAACACTTTCTTCTTCTGAGATGAAGTATGAAAATAGTTACTCTTACTTTCTCTTAGAAATGTTAAATTTTTACAAGAGCTAAAAATATTTACAATTAAAAAGAAAAAAAAGAAAAAGAAAAAGAAAAAGGGCTGCATAACTAAACGTCTATTCCCTAAGCATTACTTGATATTCAAATCTATGGCCAGAAAAACAATTAATTGGTATAATTTTTAAATAAAAAATTTCCTGCAATTTTGGTCTAATTACTCACTTCTCAGACTTAAAGAGGATGAGAAGTTAATCACTTCTGAACAATAGCAATTTCTCTCACATTACTTGTACTATATCCATGAAAAATAATAATAATAATAATAAATCTAATTCAGCATAATTACTCACGTATCCCATATATGATGAATATCCTCCATGTTCAGTTTCATAACCAGCTTCAATCTGCTTCTTGAATTAGGTACTGGGTAGTTACTTGTACCATCAGGGTGCCTTACATGATAGGTAAAATCTATTGAATTCCCTGGGAAGAAAACAAAACCAAAAACATGGCATAAATATTTCCTAGCTAATAAACCATATGTTGGATAAAAAAGTTTGCCTTTAGTAAAGCAAACTCCAGAGGGGGCAAATGCTACTCAATTTTGCTGAGGCTTGATCACTCAATATCATGAGTACATTCTTCAAAAAAAGAATAGAGCGGAAGTGGATATGGAAGTCACCATATCACGTCAAAAACGAAATTAACTTCAAAATTTCAAATAGACATGATATAGTAAAAAATGTGGAAGTTATTAACCCAATGCCGCCAGGGAAAATTAATATAAAATGGGGAAAATGCTGTACTCATTTTCTATATTTTTGTGAAACATCTCTGCATATAGATGGTAGTGCTTAGCCACAAAGGAGTCATTTAGTAGACCATGTGACCTTACAAATTTTTTACTAGTTCTATGAATATTGATAGTGTTATTTTTATTATAAACATTATAATTACTATGATGTTATAAACATTAGTAACAGCAAAATAAGATAACGTAAAATATTTTCGTAAATCGAAGAAAAGGGTAAACGGGAGACCGGCAGTACTCGTAATTGGCCCATTGGTGACTTAGTACAATTGTAACCATCTATGTGTAAAAACAATCAAACAAGTAAATCACAGTGGGCATAGCACGTACGTACACGTCAAGCCCATCAGCAATAGGTTAACAAAGTAAATGTTGGCAACGACCATAGAATGGTCAGATCTCAACATTGACCAAATTAACAAACAGTTCAATGACATAATAAAGGAAACTGCAATTGAGGCAGGCAGTTAGAACATCAAGCAAAGCTCCAGTAAGCTCTCAGTAGAAACTAAACAGCTTATGTTAAAACATAGGGTCATGAAAGTATCATCAAACAGGGACAAAGAAAGATGGAAATACAAAATACAACACTCAAATCATAATTGAGACAGTGATCTCAGGTACCTGCATGAAAACAACTGAAAGGAGACTCAGAATAGGAAGAAATCAATTACATGCAATAAAGAAACCAGATGGAGAGGCGACATATAAGAATGAAATCATAAGAGTAATGGAAAACTTTTACAGGGATCTATACAACTCAAAGGAATAGCCACAGAAGCGAACATGGGAACTAGAGACGTACCCAACAAAACAACTGAATAAAAAAGAGCGCTTCGGGGAATGAAGAGAGGAAAAACACTAGGTGAAGATGGAGCTAGCCAATCTTTATAAGAAATGTGTTCTCAACAGAAAAACTCCAAAAGCCTGGAAAAACGCAACAATTATTTTGATACGTAAAGGGGATAGAAAGGATCTAGAAAACTACTGACCCATAAGCCTCCTTTCAGTTACTTACAAACTGTTCACAAAAGTCATCACAACTCACATCTTTGACAGTCTGGATTCTAACTAGCCTAGAGATCAGGCAAACTTCCCAGCAGATTCTCAACAACAGACCACATCCACACACTCAACCAAATAAGAGAAAAAATAAACAAATATAGGAAACCCTGTATATGGCATGCATTGACTACAAAAAAGTATTTGACTCTGTACAAATACCAGCAGTACTAAAAGCTATTCAAAGATAGAGAGTAGAGGAGGTATATTGTAAAATATTGTAAGATATATTTGAAGATGGGATAGCAACCATCCAGCTCCACACGGAAACCGATAAAATACCAATTAAATAAGGCATTAGACAGGGCAATACAATCTTACCAAAACTGTTTACAGCTTGCTTTGAGGAAATATTCATGCCAGAATGGAATGGAAAGGGTATCAGAAAAAAAAAAAAAATTATATGTAAACAATCTAAGATTTGCAGATGATATTGTTCTCTTCAGTGAATCTGCAAATGAGATGCAGCAACTAATAAATGATCTGAATAGAGAAAGACAGAATAAGAAAAAGACTGAGATCATGTTCAACAGTGGAGCTCAATTTGAGCTCGTACAGACAAACACATCTAGCAAAGAGGAAATTAACCAACACATCAGTCTAGGCTGGAGTGCCTTTGGCAGACATGGTAGCATACTAAGAGGCTCCTTGACATTATGTTTAAAAAGAAAAGTCTTTAATCAATGTGTCCTCCCAATTATGGATCAGAAACATGGACTACAACCAAATTACTGGAGAGGAAACTAAGTGCCCAGAGAGGGATACAGAGGTTGATGCTGGGAATTAGCCTAAGAGATTGAAATAGGGTAAGGTGGATCAGGGAACAGACAAAAGTGGAAGACATACTTGGGAGTATCAAAAGGAAAAAACAGCAATGGGCAGGTCGTATTTGCTGGAGACAGATGGCCAAAGAAAGTAACAGACTGAGATATAGATAACATAATAAGGCCAAGGGCCAGACCAATGACAAGAATAACAAAATTTGGAGGCCAAGATTGGAAACAAAAAACACAAAGTTGGAAAAGATTGGGAGAGGCCTACATCTTGCAGTGGATTGATTCAAGCTGAGAATATATATATATATATATATATATATATATATATATATATATATATATATATACATATACATATACATATATATATATATATATATATATATATATATATATATATATATATATATATATATATATATATATATATATCATACACACACACACACACATATATGTATGTATGGATGTGTGTGTCTATATGCACACATATACATATACTTATAATATACATATACATATACATATACTTATATATATATATATACATATACATATACTTATATATACATATACATATATATATATATATATATATATATATATATATATATATATATATATATATATATATATATATATATATATATATATAATGTGTATGTACAACTTTCTATTAGCAGCTTTATTCCATTTCTGTACACTAGGTACTAATTTTTTTTTTTTTTTTTTTTTTTTGCTTAATATCTTACCTTCCCCTCTTTGGTGAGCAGACGTGAAACACTTTCTTCCACTCCATACCCCTGCTATCCACATCATATCAGTTTGTCTAAGTTGTCTCCTGGTGACATAGCAGTCAAAAGAGCCTTGCAACCAGTCAACTACAACATTATGTATTACATTTCTACCTGCAAATTAAAAAAATAAATTCAAGAGGTGTATTCAGTGTGTTCACAAATCTTTATAATTCCATTTTCAGCTTCAAATGAAAGAAATATCATGAGAACAGATAAGCAGGGAAACTAAGTAAGTAAGTATTAACAAACAAGAACATCTAAATAACAACCGTACCAGTATAAAGCATAACAGGAAACCACTCAACACCAGGAATATTTTTACTCTGTGTGTGCGACGTCTTGAAAAGCCAGCAACTATACACAATCATCATTTTATCCTCCTCAACTGTGTTTCCAGGTACCAGTGAATTAACTTGAATATATATGGCATCAACAACATTAGGTACAAGTGAAAAGAAAGAAGTGGTACTAAGGGTTACAGTAAGCATTGAAGAGGCAAACACATCCTCGATCTGCAAAGGAGAGAAAATAAAATAACACTACGTAAATAACTTGTTCCCCCTCCCCCAAATAAAGAACACCATAATTAAGTGAAAATATACAACCTTTAACATCAAAATTAAAATCTAAACCAAAAGCATCAATATAACAAATCTACATACCATCCTTTTAAGAGTACCCTCATACTGTTTCCGCAGATTCTTGAAATTATATCTAAAATTATGTACACTACTCAGATTGCATATACTGAGCTGCCTGTTGATGAGCACTGAAAAAAAAGGAAACAAATTCATATACATTTATACACAAACAAATACTTTGAGAGCTATTACATAGTCTATACATTAGTTTAAAACACATTTTGGAGCATGCAAACATGCTTTTACGGCATAAAAAGGTAAGTTAAAAATTGGACACTGACAGTGGATTTCAGTAGTAATATTAACAACTATACTTACATTTTAATTGATCCTTCCATAATGTAGCATCTTCTTTATGTAATCTAGAAGCTTGGGAAATATCAGGTGGAGGTTTTACGCCAAATGATTTTATTTTGGGGGTTCTAAAAGGTGTTCTGGAAGGAGTTTTTAAGGTTGCCCTCCCTGGCGTAAACATTGAGGTACGCCTTCTTACAGCTGAATAATTGGCGGGTGTTACATTTCTCAGCTCATATCTGAAAACGAAGTATACATTCTTGAATTTTTGCAGCGCAAGATAATGTATGTGTGTGTGTGTGTGTGTGTGTGTGTGTGTGTGTGTGTGTGTGTGTGTGTGTGTGTGTGTGTGTGCGCATGCACACATGCATGTATGTATATATGTGAAAGTAAGTAAGTGAGTGAGTGAGAGTGTCTGTGAAAGTGAGTAAGAGTGACTGTGACCGTAAGTGTGAGCGTGTATAAATATAAATATATATACAGAGATATACATATATAAAAATGAATAAATAAAAAAATATATAAACATAACTATATATATACACACACACACACACACATATATTCACACTCGCAATATATACATATACACACACACACACACACACACACACACACACACACACACACACACACACACACACACACACACACACACACACACACACACATTTCCCATTTTTATTCTGCCTGAACCCACCTTCCAGCTGACCTTGGGGTGGTTGGTGTTGAACTAGAATCCTGGCTTGAGCCACCCTGGAAATTTCATGAAATATATTAGTTCATTTGGAAAGGAGGGATATCAGTGGTTCCTGATTCACTGAGTTGCTGAGGATGCAAAATACAACAATAAAATACTGTACTGCTTGTTATACTGCATTAATAACAAGAGGCTAAATGTCAAATGAAAGGTCAACATTAAAATTAAGTCATTTTAGGATTCTATTCATTATAGGTAAACATTATTTCATTCTTGCTCATATCCACCCTAATGAAACAATAAAATCTGCTGTAGAGAGACACTCAGTAAATAGCTACATAAACTATGAAATTTTAGAAACAAATAACTGTCCAAAAAATATGCTTTCAGATTTTACAGTACAGAATACATGAAATAACATACAAAGACCTTTTTTCTCCAAAGAATTACACATAACTTACACTCGACTGTCTTTTAACATTCCTTTTTGGTGTTTTCTCCACATCTGGACTCTTCTTTTTGGTTGGCACTGTTGGCTTAGGAGATGGAAAAGGGTGGGACCTTTTGGGCAACTTTCTTCTAATCTGCGGGGATCTTGGAGAATGCCGCGGAGAGATACCGCCAGGCTTCTTAGGTGATGACTTCTTTTTAGAGGACTGTGGCCCTGGTTTCTTTTTGGGGGCCATGAGTATGCCAGTATGTCATGGAACTGAAGCAAGAGATATATACAGTATTTATTTATACAATGTATATGTGTGTATTTGCACATACATAAATACATACACAATATTGATCTCCCTTTTTCCCTCTTTCACTCACTCACCACTCACTTACCGTGACTTTAACTCACTCTCTTTCTCTTTACTACAAATGACATTGTAGATATCAAAATTATGTCACAGTCAATGCATAAAATGCCTGAATCTCCTCCAACAAAAGTTATATAACTTTTTCCCTTCCTAAGGCTTTGTTGGTAATACCCCACAATGCTTATAATAGCACATCTGTACCTACTTTGTGAAATATCAAAATACTCTCGTTTAGCTTTGTCACCCACAACCACCAAAGCAGTGTCAAGCCAGAAATATTCCTTTCAATGAAATCTAGCCTTCTTCACAAGGGAGACTGATCAAACAATATGACAGGTGTTCTGGTTGTAAATCAATTTTTTTTATTTTTTTTTATTACACATTTCAGTAAGACAATCTATGGTTAATCTTTTTACTACCATGATTCTTTTGACACCTACTGTCATTTGATTTTTTTTTCATGTGTCACTAAAATTATTCATAAAAAGAGACAGCTACCTATTCAAATGTGTGTAAAGCAGAAAGACCAATATAGGTAAACAGGAAAACTGTAAAGGGGTTGGACAGAAATATGCAAAAGTGGATCAAGGAATTTTTTGATGGTGTCAGGGTAGCAACATTTGAACATAAAAAGTATTTAGAATTAATTGTGAACAAGAACAAAAAATGCAACAAATTGTCAGCCCAACTGCAAAGTTTCACAGATACAGAAGGCACAAAACCTTTCTGAACATCCTTTTCAACAGTCAACTTGGATGGAATGGAAGACTTTGTTCACAGTATTTTGTTGCATTTTAAATGTATATATACACAATACTTGTTTCAAAACTACAAGAGATTTTATAAAATACTGCAGATGTGTAACATTAACCCCATGCCGCCAGGAAAAATGAACAAAAAATGGGGAAAATAATGTGCCTATTTTCTATATTTTTTGTGAAATGTCTACCCACAGATGACTCTGCTAGTGCTTAGCCACAAAGGAGTCAATTAGTGGACCTTGTGACCACACCTGATTTGAAATGGTGGGAAAAATGTATTTTTTACTAGTGCTATGAATATCGTTGGTGTTTTTTTTTTATCATAAACATTATAATTATTATAATGTTTTTTAACATTAGTAACAGCAAAATAGGATAACGTAAAAAAAAATTGTAAATCAAAGAAAAGGGTAAATGGGCGAGACAGGCAGTACTCGTAACTGGCTCACTGGTGACATAGTACAAGTGTAGCCATCTATGTGTAAAAACAATCAAACATGTACTCACAATGGGCATAGTAAGTACGTACACGTCATACAGAAAATCTATGCAGGCAGAAAAATGGTCTCGACAAATGCCACGCAGAGAGTGAGTCTACCCCTCATAGCTGCCTGCAACTGTTGTTGTTTACATACAAACGTGACGCCATCTCCTCCCTTTCACCCGGCAGCGAAAGAGGGCGAGATGGACATGATGGACCACTTATCCCAGAGGTAGGAGTTAGTTCTGCATGGTCAAAACATCTCGTCCATCTAGTCCAATTTATTATCCGAGGAGTTGCAAATGCAGCATAAGGTCACTTCTTATAGATTACCAATACTTTAATCTATATAATTTGCATTGTAAAATAAACAAGAGATTCACATATATAACAGCTATTGATAATTGTAATAAGGAATAACAATTGCAAGATTGGACCGTTGTGTGAAACTAAAAAAACTGCAGCACAATTTAGGTTATCCACTTCTTTGGAAATTTATCATCAAAGAAGGAACCTCTTACTTTGCCATATATGTGTTTGGGGCGTTTGCTGAGTTTATAGCATCACGTATTGTAGTCCTACTCTGAATTTACCAGACAGTTTGTGAATCACGACCTTTCCACATATTTCTTTCCTGGTGTTTGCTGGTTTTTTTTTTCTTTCTGCAATAATGCCAATACAGAAATATACGAGGCAAACAATTCCACCTGACAGCTAGATCTACCTCGACGATCTATGACCTATAGCATCCTCGACGATCTATGACCTATAGCATTTCTATGATCTATGACCTATAGCATTTCTATGATCTATGACCTATGACCTCGACGATCTATGACCTATAGCATTTCTATGATCTATGACCTATGACCTCGACGATCTATGACCTATAGCATTTCTATGATCTATGACCTATGACCTCGACGATCTATGACCTATAGCATTTCTATGATCTATGACCTATGACCTCGACGATCTATGACCTATAGCATTTCTATGATCTATGACCTATGACCTCGACGATCTATGACCTATAGCATTTCTATGATCTATGACCTATGACCTCGACGATCTATGACCTATAGCATTTCTATGATCTATGACCTATGACCTCGACGATCTATGACCTATAGCATTTCTATGATCTATGACCTATGACCTCGACGATCTATGACCTGTAGCATTTCTATGATCTATGACCTATGACCTCGACGATCTATGACCTATAGCATTTCTATGATCTATGACCTATGACCTCGACGATCTATGACCTGTAGCATTTCAAGTACTTGAATCTCCACTGTTTAAAGCACCATATAAGGGCAAGCCGTATGCTGGAAACGCTTCGTGCAACACCTCAACCTTTGCCTTGAAAAACAGAAAATGCTTCAGTGATTGTGAACTTCCGCCCAACTCATCCAGCATTCAAAGAAGTTGCCAAGTAATCCGTAAGGAATAGTCTCAGTTTCACCTTGTGTCATTTAGGATTAGCATTTGTCTATTAGTCTATCTAGTCTAGCGGGCATGTACGATTCTAGTTCACGCCGCTATTACGCCGTCTCTACAACATTTCGCACATGTTTACCACAATTAAAGACATGCGCATATGTTTATTTTCCCAATACTTTGCTTCAAACTCGTAAATAAAAGGTGACTTAAGTGAAATATGAATAGAAATGTGAATATTCGTACCCAAAGGGATCCCGTCCGATTTAAACTCCACAATATTTTGATGTTTTGAGGAGGACGCGCGCTGATTGGTCGGACATACTCGTCGGTGATTGGTCGAGCGGTAGTTTGCATTCGCGTTTGAGATTATTTTTTGAGCCTTCGTCCTGTTTCATAAAGGAAGAAGTTTTGTATTTTATAATAAGTGATGTATTATTTAAGTGACTGTTTATATCAAGATAAGAATAATGTATGGATATTTTGTTTGCTCTTTTTCCAAAACATATTTGTTAATGAATTTTTCCTACGGATTACTCCCGCCAATATTCGGCGGCGATGATGATAACTAACTCATCTGTGGCATAACACTTTATTACATTCTTTAAAAGATAAATCTCACTAAAAAAATATTTTGTATTTCAAGGCTTTCCACATCCTTATCCACGCGCTGTAAAACGGCATATCTCCCTTTTCCGTCCCCACATGAGTCACCGGTGACGTCACTGGCCTTACAAGGAGACCGAAGGAGTTAAAGCATGACACATTTTCACTTATACAGACCTCTATGTAGAATTATAATAAGATTATCATTTCTTATAAAACGTCTACATATTTTTTTTATTATCGTAGCATGACACATTTTCACTTTGTCCAGACCTCTATGTAGAATTATGATAAGATTATCATTTCTTATAAAACGTCTACATATTTTTTTATCGTAGAAGACGTTACTCTTAAAGTTTT